CTTTCTTGTTAAAGGTGGATTTAAAGAAAAGGAGTTCATTATCTTGGACATTTTTGAGTCATTATGAATTTCATCCCTCTCCTCATTAATTACTTATTACCCCTCAGCTCTGGAGGGCTGCTTTGTCCCCGATGTGTTTGTGAGCAGCTTCCCTGGCACCCTGTAATCCCCCCGGCCCTGTGTTAGCTCGGTCTGGTTTACACTGCCCTCGCTGTCCTCTCCGCTGTCTGCTCAGCTGCTCCCAGTCTCCTCTGCTCCCAAACAAGCTCTTGCCTTTTCACTGCACCCCAGAACTGCCTCCTGCTGAGCCCTCTGGCCCTGGGTCCCTCAGTGGGTTGAAGCCCTTGTGCATCTTGCCTGCCCCAAGGGACGGGCACCCATTCCCACTGGCCTTGTGCCATGCAGTAAGAAGAGTCACTGGCTCTTGGTTAATAGGTTGGCACTGGAGCTTGGATATAAATATCTGCTTTTTGGAAAGCAATAGCTTTGCTGGGCCTGTTCTGGTGCGTGCCAAGTTATGACAAAGCGGCATGTGGAGCGGAGTAATGCTGTGTAAGGGCCTTGGGATTAACAGGCCAGTGTTTCCCAGGCCTTTGGCTGCAGTCAGATCCCCAGGGAGGACCTGAAACCTACAAGCATGTCCTGTGCTGCAGCAGCCCCGGGGGGGCACAACAGCTGCAGTGGAGCCATCACCCTCCCATCATCCTGACAGAGGAAAGCCATGCACAGCTGGGCACTCAGATACTGACCCTGCTGCTGAAACAACCTTCTTCAGCCCATGTCACATGCACATATTGGCCATAATCCTGTGTTACCCACAGATGGATCCATGACTGGGGATCACAATGAGTGATGGCCTTTCTCTGGATCTAAACAAGCACACAGATACCCAGTCTCTGCTGGCAAGAGACTCCTCCATCCCAGCCTCATGCTCAGGTTGACTTCCATGCCCCTGCTGCCCCAGCAGCTTCCCTAAAGCTTTGCAGGACTTTTTTTACCATCACAGCAGGGGATGGCAACTTACGGTCTGCCCTCTCTTCCCTGAGGTCAGCGCTAATGCATTTCTGTGCTGAACCTCCTCCCAGCAGGCTCCTGCCAGGGCTGGGGTGTGGTCACTGGAGAGGGCCCTTCCCATACTTTGTGGAAGTGCATGAGAAGGCAAAGCAGGAAAAATGTGTTGGGTTGGTAAAGGGAAGAGAGGCGTGTGCGATATTTGCTTGGGGAGGGTAAACGAGGGTTGCACAAGCAAGCAATTCGGTTGCACAATCAGAAGCAGTGGAATTATTTAAGTTCCAATGATCAACTGAGCTGCACTTTCTCAGGGGGTTTTGCCCAAAACATCTTATTCTTTAACTGGAGCAAACTGAGATAAGACACCTGGTCCAGGAGTGCAACTCTGCTGACATGCCCCGAGCTGTGCCTTGGCTCAACCCTCAGAGAGAGGCAAGAGGGTCGCAAAATCATTTCAGGGGATTGAAGTTGTGTTGTGAAGAAATCAGCAGCAGCTCAGGCTCTTCAGGACAGAGAAATAAATTGAGAACAGGCTGCAAGTGCTTCGAGCAAACCTTCACACTTGCCAGGAATCTGTTAACTACCTTTAATGGATGGCAGCAATTCCAGTCCACTGTAGGGGTGAGCCCAGCAAAACCCTCTAAGCCAAGGATTACAGCCATTCCTCATTCTCCATCTGTGAAGCAATCATGTAGCTGAGGACCACAAGGGACTTAGTGACAAAGGAGCTACAAGGAACAGATACTTTCAGGTGCCTCACTAAACAAGCACCCCTTGTCAATGAGCTGCAATCTCATCCCTAAAGGACACATCAAAATCCACAGAATCATTTAAGTTGGAAAAGATCCCTAAGATCATAAAGCCCAACTGTTAACCTAGCACTGCCAAGTCCACCACAAAACTATGTCCATAAGTGACACATCTACGTGTTTTAAATACCTCCAGTGTGACTCAGCCTCTTCCTTGGATAGCCTATTCCAGTGCTTGACAAGCCTTTCCATGAAAATGTTTTTCCTAATATCTAAACTTCCCTTGGTGTAACCTAAGGCCCTTGTCCCATCACTTGTTACTTGGGAGGAGAAAACATCTCACTACAACCTCCTTTCAGCAGGTTGTAGAGAGTGGCGTCTCCCCTGAACCTTTTTCTCCAGACTGAATACTCACAGCTCCCTCAGCCACTCCACGTAGTACTTATGTTCCAGACCCTTCAGCAGCTCCACTGCCCATCTCTTGACATGCTCCAGCACCTCAATGTCCTTCTTGGGGGCAGAGGCCCAAAACACAGCATTCAGGGTGTAGCCTCACCAATGCCTGGTACAGGGGAACAATCCTGTCCTGGTCCTGCTGGCCGCACTATTGCTGATACAAGCCAGGATGGCATTGGCCTTCTTGGCCACCTGGGCACACTGGTGGCTCAGCTGAATGTTTACCAGCACCCCCAGGTTCTTCTCTGCTGTGCAGCTTCCCAGCCACTCTGCCCTCAGCCCGTAGTGCTGCCTCCTCTGGCTGTTGTTTATTGTCTTGTACAGCAGTAGCCAGATTAAGTTCTAGCTGGGATTTGGTCCCCCTCATTTTCTCCCTGCATAACCTCACAACATCCCTGTAGTTCTCCTGAGTTGCTGTTCCTTCTTCCAAAGGTCACAAACTCTCCTCTTTTTCCTGAGCTCCAGCCCAAAGCTCTGTCCAGCCAAGCCAGTCTTCTTCCCCGTTGGCTCATCTTTTGGGCACAAGCGGACAACTTGTTCCTCCACCTGTAAGATTTCCTTCTTGAAGATTGTCCAGCCCTCCTGGACTCCTTTGCCTTTCAGAACTGCCTCCCAAAGTACTCTGTTAGTCCATCTCCTGAACAGGTCAAAGCCTGCCCTCTGGAAGACCAAGGCAGCCATTCTGCTGACTCCCCTCCTTACCTGAGACTCCATTATTTTGTGATCGCCGTGCCCAGGACAACCATCGCATCACCCACAAGCTCCCCGTCACAGGAGCCAGGAGATTGAGAACATTATTTTCTTCTGCTCCTGTATTTGAATGGCATTCCCCAAAACTTTTGCTTTCTGCCATGCTCCTCCCTGCAGCAAAATGAGGTGGCCTGTGCTGGCACTCCCAAATGTGCAAGTCTTGGCACCAAGGCCCGTGTTTGTGTATTTTCCAAGGAGATCAACAGGTGGTCAGTGATCACACACAGATCTGGACAGTGAGTGCCTGGAGGCACGAGCCATTGCTGGGAGAGGACAACTTCTCCAAGGGAGCCCTGTGCATCTGGCAGTGGTTGGCAATAAGCCAACCACAGCTCCGTTGTGGCCTTATTCCTCATAACGTGAGCAACAGCACAAGGACTCGGTAAAACCCAGCTGCAGGGTATGGACAGCTGTGCTCCAGAGGTGGAGAAGGCGAGTGCCCAGCCTCCTCTGATCCAACCCATACTGCCTGGTGCTCCAGAGGGCAGGGAGACCTCCACCCATGCAGACAGGCCTCTGCATGAGCCTTGCACAGACTGCCAGAATGACCTACTTCTGCATCTGTGGGATGTCCCTCTCCTCAGCTCCTGCAAAGGGTTTGGAAAGCACGAACCATGTTAAGCACGTGTCAGTGAAATCCAGCTCCCCAGCTTAGGTTGTCTAACACAACATTTGCAATGCCTCAGACTTCAGAGCTTTTCCAAACCCCTCAGGACTGTAAGGCTAATTTAGGCCAGCTTCTGGAGTTTTACAGGGCCCAGATGAGGTACCTCACTGTTCATTCTCTCCCCATTCTTATAACCCCAGGTACCTGGCACTGCTTGAGAAAACACATGGGAAGTGCTCTGGGAAGAAGCCAGGGTCACTGGGTAAGGCTGGACCCTCCCTCCTACTGCTCTGGAACACAGCAGAGTCAAAAAAGACAGCGTCACCACAGGGTAAAATGGTCCATTGCAGCAGGGAGGGCCATCACTGCTCCTCACTCCCAGTCCAGCCCCTGAATCTCAGTGCAGAAGGGTCCTTGGGCTGGCATGGTGACTTGGTGACAGCCAGGAGTGCCAGGGTAAAGGAGACATCAGTGAGGGCTGCTGATGCTGTGATTGTCTGAAACATTCCCAAAACATTGTCAAAATTGTTCTAGCTCAATAATAAGCCAGAGAGTAAAAAGGACAGGTCAAATAATCCTCCTGCAGAGGCAGAGAGGACAGTTTAACTAGCAGTGCCTTATCCAGCATGGCCACACCCACCGTGTCCTGCTGGTGCTCACGCACCATGACACTCTCCATGTATTTTTCTGTCTAGGAATATTCATACCAAAAGCCTCCCATACAAAATCTGAACCTCCCGTGCTCTCCTGGCTTCCTTGCATGCACCACAAGGTATTTGAGGACCTTTTACCTTGATCATCAAGGTGAAAGTCATACCTTTGGGGTCTGATTTCCCTAGTGTAGAGCACAGCTTCACTACAGGTTTCTAAGTTGTGATGAGTTGTTATTGCCCCAGGGCAACACACAAGTGCTTGAGAGCTCAGGTTCCCCAGACAATTCAAATCCTTCTCCCTTTATTTGATACCAGGCACAGAGACCTGTGCAGTTCCCAGCACCCCTTCACTTCCCCAAACACTTCATCACCCAAATTTCCACTGCCACATATTTTAAAACCTCTGCTGTTCTCCTAACAAGCCTCAAAACACAGGCATCTTTTGAAGCCCTCGCTCCTTGAGTTCCATGCCTTTGCACAACCATCAGCTTTCAAACAGTAAATGGCTTTCCAGTTTGTAATGTCACAAGTTATCCCCTAAAATCACGACTTCCCAACACTAGCATCCAAAAATCAACTGCCTGCCAATCATACTGGCACTTGTAGACTGGTGCCCATAGGAAACAGCCAGCCCACCACATGCCCTCTAATACCTGAAAACACAGAAGGGCAGGAATAAGACCAAACCATTTAGAAGCACAGGCTGGAATGAGGAGCTGCTGGATAATGAATCTACTTTAATATTTCTCCCTCAAGAAGACACCCAAGTCCCACTTATTCTAGGGCAAACTCAAAAGGTTTTATTTTAATTTTTTTTTTTTTAGCAAATTCTATCACGTAAATGTTAACAAAAAACATCTGTACAATTGCCATGATACACTCAAAAGTGAAACAAATAAGATATAAATACAGATATGGATGTAACATGACAAAAGCGGAAAAAATAGAAAAAAATACATGCGCATGAACACGGTGCCAACAAAGTCATTTCTCATGGCTGGCATTTTTCAGAGCGTTTTTTTACTTCCCATTTAAAACATTGTTAGCAACGTCCTGCTGTATACTACAAAGGTCTAGTTTTTCTGTCCCTTAATATGTAATATTATGCTTGATAAATAAAGGGGTGGGGAGAAAAGGTTTTGATGACAAAGATGCAAGTTACATTACTTATACAGGTTATTGGTAAGCTAGTAATAAGCAATTAAAAAGACAGTCTTGTATTGTATTGTAATCCAGGCAAGCACACATAGTGTACCTTAAGAAAGCCACATGCCTCGATATTTCTGAACTACATGAGAACTACAGTACGTAGACCTGTGGGGCAGATGGAGCCTGTATTTGCCCACGCCCACGGAGCACTGGTGCAGCCAATGGCAGAAAAAACATCCACATCTGAGATTTCGGCAACCTTGCAGCCAAGAGCTGCTGTCTGCTGAGAGTTTTCTCCCATTCAGATTTTTAAAGCATGGTGGGCAAAGAAAATACACTTTTTTCCTTCTTTTTTTTTTTTTTTTTAAACTTTTTTTTTTCTCTTTTTTGAAGGTTATGAAAAATTGAAGCCCTGCATAATGGGCAGCAAGGAAAAAAAAAAAAAAAGGCAGTTGCAGTAGGTGGCTACTGCCAGGAGAAGGTGAACACAAGCTTCACCGGTGCGGTGAGACACTGCAGCATGCAGACCTTCCTCTGCAAGCATGCGTGGACACTGTGATCTGTAGCCAGAGAGACCTTTATGCTTGCTGAAGAGAAAACAAAATGATTGTACAGCTTGTTGAAGTCAAAACTGGAGATCAGAGAGGTGACATTCAGAGCTAGCCCTTTGAGCACTTCAAAGGAAACACAAAATAAAAATTGGGTCATGTTCAACATACTAAACAACCTTACTATGTACATTATACGCAATGATTTATAAATACCTAAAGCAGAATGCTCCCTACTGTATACAGGTATAACACACTTCTAGAGTACTCAAAGGATGGACAGTCCTCGACTGACTCACGTAACGAAATCAAGTAGCACATTAATGAGCATCTGTTGACAAACAGAACTGAATTTGATTCAGAAAGTAAGGCCTGATTCTACCACGTGCAGCCCCAGGGGTGCCAATGCCATGGGGGAGCGCAGGCCGGTCGCTGCCCGCAGCAGGTCACGCGCCTTCGCAAGGACGAGCTGCCGACTCCCGCTGAGGTGTCAGGTCAGGGACGTTACAGTGCGTTCACTCTCAGTGCATACTAACAGGATTTTATAAAATATATAAAATCATTTGAAAAGGAATTCAATTCCTGGAGATTTGCTACAGTGTGCCATTCAAAGAAAAAAAAAAATAAACCAACAACCAAACCAACAAACAGCAAACAGTGATGGACCAAGCTCCATCACAGCTGGGAGGGACTAATCAACACCTGGTCAACTGTGCTGACCTTCTGAACCCCAGAACTGGAACAGAAGATGCTGAACTGAGATGGGGAGAAAGAAAGGCATAAATACTAAGCAGTTAGAAGTACAAATTAAAAAAAAAAAAAAAAAACCCAACAAAACACCCCAAAAAAACCTAACCCGCTACTAAAAATTCAAACAAGACAGCTAACTGCTGCCAACAAGTCAGCTGAATATTTCCTCAAAAGGAAAAATAAATTTGTGTTAAAATAAAATTTGAATCATTCAAAAAATTTTAAAAAGAGCATTCTGACAAGCATATTGAAAGATGTTGCAAAGAAATGGTCCACAGAAAGGGAGACACAAACTATGGAGCAGTCAGTCCTTCCTTTAGTGAGGATGGCTTCTCTGAGCCTGCAGAATCCCACACACCAGGACTGCACACAGTTTCTCCTGCCATGGTATTATTTGTTGGGAAAGATGAGGGAACTAGCCCTGCAGCCAGAAAAAGCCTGGACACGTATAAATCAGGAGGTGGTCACCTTCTCTGCTCTCATGCGAGCAGGAAAAGGACCAACAAGCTCTGCAGCCCAATATCACAGTCCCCACCAGCCCAATCCCTCCTGAGATGAGGACTGGGAGAGGAGCTGGCACCAAGCATCAGCTCCCAGCATAGCTCCTCAGGGAGACACAGAGGGATGAACTGATGGAAGGGGCTTTACCCTTCCCTGCTGCAGTAATGGAAAGTCCCACGTTCTCAGTATGTTCCCAAGGTGTCCCTTCAGCTCCCCAAAGTGGAAATAGAGGAAGCTGGAAAAACTCCAAGGCACTGAGAGCAGCCAGGGAACATCCATCACCACAGCTGCAGCCATGAGCTGCATGGCCACCATCCTCTTGCGTCACTGGCACTGGGGACAAAACCCCAGTTGTGATCTACTGCAGGTTTGGGGTGGGCAGGCCCATCAGCCAGGATCCAGCCCAGGGCCAAACACAGCACTAATCAGCAACATCCTGCTTTCCCTGGTTACAGGCAGAGCCAGGGGCAGCTCCCCCTTTGCAAACAGAAGGGTCTTCATTTGGGAAGAGGTGGTGCTGAGTGTTATTTGACTGCTGCTGGTTTGCCTCTGACCTGGTCTCTGTCATCAGGCTACAGAAGGATTTGCCCTGCTGCACCCTCCCCCCCAGCACCCTGCTGACAGCAGTGCCAGCAAGGGCCCTCTGCACTGCTCCGAAATGCAGAGCACCCAGCAGGCCTGTGCGTGGGGATGGCCAGGAAGGAGGAGGTTTCTAAAGGCAGTTAACAGCACTGCAGGGTCTTCAGGCACAGGAGGGGCTGTGGCAGGCAACCAGTACTGTCCCAGCTGGTTCAGAGGTGCTTCCAATGTGGTATTTCTGCTCAGATTTGGACACCCTTTCTGTCCTCTGGGATGAACATTTTGCCCAAAGCACATAGGAGTTGTGGGGATAAAGCCACTCATCACCCAGCACCAGTGGGTCAGTCAGAGCAGCAGATCAGCCCTTTGATGCTACAGACTTCAAAAAAAACATCTGGCACTGAGGTACAGCTCTGCCAGCTCTCACTGTCCACCCATGAACACACACAGAGCCTAACCCAACCCCCACCCACCTAACTCCACCATCCTATTTGCAGACATCAGTCCCAGAATTGGGTCTCAGGTTCCCTTTGGGGAGTAAGAAGTAACCTGGAGAGTCTTTCAAGCATATGAAAAAGAGCCAAATGGGTTGAGAGGGGAGAAATATTTACACAGTCAGTGAAAGGAGCAAGATCCCAGCTGTTATGCACAGCACAGCTGGCTGGAGAGCAGTTACAGAGAAATCAGCCCATCCAGGGTCTGCCAGAACTATGTACAAAAACTCAGGTGTTTATAAAGAACCTACTTTTTCATTACTCACTTGGTATCTCTTAGTATTAAAGCATCTGAGGCTGGAATCACAGCCACATCTGCAAAGATCTCCCCATGGAGAGCCCTGCAAGTCAGGCAAGCTGCAACAGGGAGTACAAAACAGGAACACAAGACTTGTAAGAAGAGGAGAACCTAGCCAGAATGGCTGCGGGGAGAGAGCAGGTAACCAGCACACAGAAACCAAAACAGGGGATAAACTAAACCAACAAGATTTGTTTTGACTTTTACACGTGTCCGGGTTCTTGGACTCAGTGTTGGAACGCTAACCTAAACATATTTCTGAGATCTCAGCAGGCTATACCAATATGTTTAAGTATGGCTTCCTGTTGTTCACTTTTAATGAAGACTGCAACACAGACCTTGCTTCCTTTACATTCAATACCAGTAAGATTCTACATAAAAGCTTTTAAGGGACTAAAATACTGATTGCAATAAATATCTGCATGGCCTCCTTAAGCTGATGGAGCGCGCCAGTGAAGAGTAGCAGAAAGGTCTCTGAGAGGCACCGTTGATTGCTTCTAAGTCTACACATATGTCCACATATCTCCATTAACTGTGCGTTGAAACATCTGAAGAGGAACTGCTGTTGCTGTTGGTGGTCTGGGCCCTCTTTATATACAAGTTTAGTAGCTTCATCTGAAAGAAACAAACAAACATCAGGAGAAAATGCCAGGAAAAACAGGTGGGTACAAGCTGACTGCAAATCTAAAAACTCGCATTCTGTGGGGAGCTCAGTCTTGAGTGAGTTGACACAGGGCACTCTGGAGGAAAAACAGAAGCCAAAGTGACCATATTTCAGAACAGAGGCAGGAGGGTAAGCCCAGTCCAACTGAAGTTACAGACACATTTAATGGGATTTAGAAAAACCTCTTGCATTTCACTTCAGCAGCCAGCAAGCAGTTCATAGACTCAATCCTGCAGCCTGATCAGGTCAAGCAGAATTCCCACAGAGGTCAGCAGGATTGCAGGTGCACTGGTGACCCAAGAGCCATGGGTCCTTCCTAGGAAACACCTTGAACTCTCTGTGCTTTATAAAATGTTCATTTTCAATGACATTATATCTTTACTAACTTGGTACATCTAGTAAAACTGCAGTAATTATGGCTATATACTTCCTTTCCATGGGTTTGTTTTCTTTTTCCGCCTTGCCACCCTAACTCCAGATCCTGTAATGACTCATGCTCACATTTAACTTTTGAACATGCAGGCAGTCTGCATAAACCCAGAAGAATTACTCACATGTTTATAGTTAGTTATCTGGTGGAGTAAGTCCGTGGCACCTAGGATACTGGGATAATAAAGCCTCTATAACATTTTAAAGGGGAATTTCCTAACAGCCCGAATGGAATGAGGCAAACCTCAGCAACCATAGTTGTCTCTTTCCAGAGCAATTTGGAGGCCCAAGTAATTTTTTTAAGGACAAGACAACACAAAAATAAAATCCAAGTGTTTCAGTCTCAGGTTGTTTTGGCCTCTGTCACACTTCCTACTAATGAATGAAATTATTGCTTCAAAATGACAGAATGAAGCCCTCCGAACTAAATAGCTATTCACATGCAGAGATCTATTTCAGAAACAAAAAATACAGAATTAATCTTAAAATTGCACAGAAATCTTATGTATGACGACTTCAGATGGGAGAAAAAAATTTTGTGATGGCTTCTTGAGCAGCTCTGAAAAGCAATCAAGCACTACCCACTTCAACACAGAAGTCCAGCTCTTGTCTGAAGGACAGAGCTCAATTAAGGGCTTGGTTTCACTTGCAGCATCAGGTCAGAATCTGAGTTTTGCTTTGAGCTAGCCTGACTCCAGGGCACAAAGTCCTTTGAAGCTTGCTGTTGTCCCAGAAGGAAAGGGACCCATGTGCTGTGCTATTAAGAGTGAAGCTTTACCTGCATTTCTACCATCCCTAATCAAAACGTGGTGCTGAGAGGGCCTGTTCTCCCACCATCCCAGCCATGCATTCCCATCATTCTCTGCACCAGGTTACCTATGCAGGGCAGACTGAAAGGTATTTAATTTGGATTGCAGATCTGGTTTTCAGCCAGAGCAGCAGCTGATCCAACACACTGCACAGCTGCCCCGGGATGCAACACCAAAGAGGCGAGGCAAGGCAAACATGGGTGAAGTGGGAAGGACCTGCTCAGTGGCAAATTGCAGTTACACAGGATCAAATACATCATGAAACCAATCTCTGAACCCCATCAGAATTTTCTTACTGGGATTTCAAATGCTCACACTGCTGAGCAAGTGCTGTGCTAGTGCTATTTGTCAGGGTGAGGCAGGATTTAACAGAGCACAGGGAACCCGACCCAGAGCTGCAGTGAAGCCTTGCCGTTAGTAACAGCCCGCAGAGCAGCTTGCAGTATCAAAACATCAGACACACATTACTCCTGTACCTTGCTTCCTGTGAGCTGTGCGAGATGAGGTTTCAGTTCTTCTCCAATTACTGAATAAATTGCCACCAGGCAAAACACGCTGGCTTTACGGACACTGCTCTCCGTGTTATCATAGCCCTACGAAACAAGACAAAAGGGTCAGAAGACAAACAGCACTCCCCAACACCCTTCCTGGGCAATAGACTACAGAGCTGATGTCCGTTTTGCAAATGTGGTTGACCTTTCTACTGACACGTCAACAGAAAGGCCCTTCTTAATGTAACAGTTTGCTACCTGAATTCTCGAAGAGCAAGAGAATGCAATCACCCAGGACATCCCATCTGCTCCTTCTGTTATTATTTACTGCTGCCCTAAGTTATTAATACCCTGTTATTTACAGCATTAAATAACAATTTAACGTTACTTAATGTTAAACACAGTTTCCTAACATGAGCTTGGGAATCTGTCAGATATACACACTTCTGTGTCCAGTGCAGATGACCATGTGCTATCCTGGATGGTCAGGGCTTCTTGGAGGGGAGCCCACCTATCAGGTAGGAAATACCACAGGAAAGAACATGCTGAAAGACCCCTGTCCATGTGCTGATCTTGGGCAGCTTGAGCAGAGCTCAGGCCAGCCACCAGGTCACTGAGCAGCTGGTGACATCAGTCCCAAGCTCAGGAAAAGATTCATCACTCAGCAGCCACCCCATCCCATGAGAAACACAGACATGACTTTAGCCTATGGGATGCTGGCTCCTCTGGATGCCGAGTGATCTCTGCCAGGAAAGCCAGAGGAGGGATGCAGCACAGCTGGGCTGTTCTAGCTGCAGGGTCCAAGCCCAGCCCAAAATGACAGTCTGAAATCCCACAGAGCACTGAGCTAGAAAAGCAGAAGACCTCAGTGAGCTCAGAGAAACACCAAGCTATTGATGATCGAGGTGGGGAAAAGGTTGAAGCCAGGCCCACAGCAGAGGAACACAGTCCACTGCTGGTAGGACAGCTGGGAAGCAGGGTCCCTGTGGGTTCCTACCCAAAGGCTCCCAAACCCATCAGTTGCCTCTGCTTAACCTCAACTCTCCCTGTGGGCCTGGGATTATTCTTACATGTGCATCCCAAATTGCTCCCAAGGGGGCAGGCAGATCCATGTGGTATTGAGGCCTGAGAGGGCTGCATCCTGGCGGGCACTGGGTTGGCAGAGCCTGCTCTGACTGCGCCAGTGGGACTGTCACCCCACCTCTCCATCTGCCAACTTGCTGCAAGGCAGTGGCTGCTTCTTCTCCTGCCATTTAATTGCACAGCTCACTGGTCAGAGTGTTCACCCAGGAGATGATACAGGCTCAGAGCTCTCTGTGGCCTGGAAGTATCGAGAGGTAGTGCATGGGAGAGTCCCTTGCAGCTCAGCTTTGTCCCCCAGGCTCCAAGGGAGCCAGGGCTCCTCATCAGGACCAGGGCAAGCACCACAGGTCTCCCCTGCCACACCCTTTTCTTTCCCGGAGATCCCATCTGTTCATGGGGATCCCACTCCAGGCTGTTGAGCTGCACACTCGTGCTCATACTGCTGCTGTCTGACACTCCTCGCCTCTTCACTGCTCTGCCAGTACCCTCAGCATGGGAAACAAGCATAAAGGTGATACTCTCCACATGCAGTCCTTCAGCCAGGATCCCAAAATACTTCCCAAATGTAAAGGAGTAGAGTTCTTTGATCACTATGAGTTTCTAAGGTAAGAAAATATCACTGACAAACTAGGCTTTGAAACAAGAACATTTAAAGACATGGAAGCAATTTAAGAAGACATAACAGCCTTTTTAAAGACATGCTTCTCCCAAACTTTTCCAGTGCAGCAAAGCTTCACTGTTCATGTTGTTGTCTCCAACAATTACGGCTAAAACCATTTTACAACAAAAGTTTAGATCAATACAGAATTGTCCAATTCCCAGAAGTTGAGAATTAAGAAAAGAATTGCAAGAGCTGACACTACAAAATTGGGATGAATACCAGGATGCATAAGGGGAATTTCTGACTTTGCTCTTGTCCTTCCAACATTTTATGCTCGCCACAAAGGCTTCTTTATCCCAGTTCTCCATGGAAGTCTTACCCACACAAACATGTCTTCCCTTTCACACTGACTGATTTGTTCCTGTCACAATCTCTCCCCCATAGACACACATAATCTCTTTCCTCCCTCACTGCCACTTCCCTTATTTTCTTCTTGCTTGCAGCCTCATCCCAACTGCTGGCACCACCAGCTGCTTGTGCAGTGAACCAGAAGACAACATGCTACAGCCAGTGCTCAAAACTAAATTCACAGTGTAAAACCAAGCCTTTGCACTGACAAAAACACAGCTCCCCACCCAGCCTGAGAGGGTTATGAAAAAGAGACTGAATGAAGACAGCGGGTAGTTTCAGAAAGGCAAGAAGAAAGGAGCAGCCTGCCTGCTGGGATTCAAATTCAACTGCAAAGTACCATCAAAGCACAGAACAGCTCAGCAGAATTCAAGACATAAAGAGACAGCATAAGATGTTGTTAACCCCTACTCTCACATTTATTACATGGCTGCTACTGGCTTATTTAGGACTCAGGTCAAGTCATCTAACTGTGGAATATGCACATAGGAACCTGAGTTTTCCTTAACACTAAAACCATCAAAAACTCAAATACAAAAACTTTAGTTTACCAAAAATTAAGGGTTTAAAACTTTAATTTACCAAAATCTGGCTCCAGAGGGTCCATCATTCTCTCTTAGGTCACAGACCTAACACATTACTCAATATTGTCTGTGCTCAGGAGCAGTGACATAGGGTTATGTACCTGTAACAGCCCAGGAATGATATCAGGTAGGAGCTGATGCAATGATTCCTTGGAAATCCTCTCGATGACTTTTGTCTGCATTTTGATGGCAGCCAAGTTAATTGGATAATCTGCAGTCTGAATGATAGGGCAAAGCACCTTGATGCACTGCTCGGGGTGGATGGAACTCGCCAGCGTGGAAGCAGCTTCTTCGGCAGCTCTGACGACCTGGAATGAAAGCAGAGCAAACCCTTATGTTAATGAGGTCACACTTGACAGCCAACACCGCTGGAGCGTGCTGGGAATGACTGCCAGCATACACTTGGGGATGTTCATTGACAGATCTGCAGGAGGCTCTATCGAGAGGTGACCGACTCCAAGAATTCACATCCTTTGCCTCCAGCGACATCTTTGTTCCAGCCAGTGGCAAAATGTCCATCCTGCCTAATGTAACCGTGCCAAAGTTGTGGCTAGTTAGAGAAAATCATCTGTCACCTAAGACAGACAGGCACTCCCATCCCAAGAGAAGCAGGAGGCTGGCATCTCTCCAGCCACTGTCACAGAACCTAAACCCACAAGCTTAGACTTTAAACACTGCCCCAAATGGCACTCTTGCACCTTTTAGTATCTCGCCTGCCAAGTGCTCGGGTGCCCAAGTTGAGACATCTTAAGGCTACATAGGGGTGTCCTGCCATTTCCCAAATAGATTATGCTGTATTCAAAACCAGGCTACAGACACAAACAGGCTTTAGGGAGTCCCTGACCAGGCAGCTGCACTCTCAGAACATGTAACTGGGATCACTATACAAAATGGGAGGAAGAACAAGTGGAAACAGCAGCAGCACTCACCTTTTGCAACTAGCCCAAACTGTTAAGCAGTCACACAAAGAAAGGGAGATCCTAAATTCAACTCCATTCTTGCATCAGGGGAAGGCAAATTCACAACTTTCACTGTTCCCCAGCAGGTAGGACAGCTAGTTCAAAGAGGAAAGACCCAAACCTGGTCTCTCCTCCCATGAGAATTTATTTGTTTTACATTCTGCAGTAATTGGATAAAAAAGAACAGGATGGGAAGGCAGGTTTTCTTTTTTTCGAGTGTCTGTGCTAATTGCCAGGCAACAAAATGAAGCTTCCTCTTGGTTGCACTCTTCCTGGCCACAAATAACACACCTTTTGCTCCTCATGTTCTTGTTACAATACAAAAGATGGAGGATGCTTTTTCTCATCCTCACTTACTCCCCTGTGTTCAGGCTTACTTTTAAGGGAGGGTAAATCCTGAATGAACAGAGATGCCCCAGTGGGCAGACTTAAATCAAACACCTCAATTTCAAGAAGAAAGAAGCATTCACAAATCCTCATGTTTAAGATTTCCCAGCTAGCCCCAGGCAGTCCCTAACCCTGAGCCCAGGAGCATTAACACAGCCTTTCAAAGCATCCCCCCTTTCCTGATTGTGTGTGATGCTCAGGTGCCCAGCACTGGTTCTTTAACTCCTCCTAAACTGAGCTACCTGGGGTTGTCAGAAGTGGATACTCTGCAACCAGCACTAGGACACCTGTTCAGGCAAACCACAAAAATGCAAATAAATCAAGCCATCACTACCCCTTAAAGTGAAGCCATAGCTGCTGAATTTGCCTCATTCTCCTCTTCCACACAGTGTGATGGTATAAAACTCAGGGATTTCTGTTTGACTAAGGCAATCCATGGATGTACCTCTAGCAAAGCCTCAAAATAAGACAAGCTTTCATTATTTTTAAGCAACTACTGGGGATAATGCATGAATCAGGAATATCTGAAAGTTTACATCAGTCCTCACTAGGACAAGAATGTCTCCCGGTTTGGACTACAAAATATTTTCCTGAAAGGTTTAACTGACCTTCAAGACAGCAGCAATGAACTGTGACCAGAAGAGATCATCTCCATCTACAAAGCCTGACTCATCCACAGTCTTTGTATCACAGCCACAGTACTAACAATACTCTTGCAGACATGCTGACAGCTACCTCCCTAAAAGAGGAATGGCACAAGACACTTATATACCCAGGAAATAATAAAAGTCATCCACTTGACTTCTGGCATCCTCTAAAGCAGATCCAACAGTGAATGGGATCTCAGATACTTCACCCAGCACAAACAATGCATGCAGGCAAGGTAGAGGCAGGATGGTGAAATAACTTGAGATTTTGACTGCTTCTGTATCAGTGCCCCATTTACAGAAGAAAAACTGTCCAAATGCTCCATTTACTTCAGGTCTTTCTCTGCATTTAATTATAATATTAAAACATATTCCAAAAAGAATGGCAATCCACAATGTGGACAATACTAAAAAAATTTCATCCTGAAACATCTCTGTGAATGAGAAACCGTGCAGAACAAAAAGCGTGCTTTCCCACTTCCAGCAAGTTTTCCCTCTTCCAGCTATTTCTTTGCTAATTCCTCTTCAATTTCACATGTAAGAAGCATGAAAATTAATATTTTTCCACATAAGTCAGTACTAGCTTAGGAGCAAGCACTGTGTGATTTTGTTGGCAAAGGAGAGAAACACCCCAGTACTTAAGGGAAACCTAACACCAAGCTCTGACACCACAGAGTTGAACTGCTGAGTGGATGAAGTCAGGAGCTCCCAAGAAGGTCTCCTTTAAAGGAATCCACTTCCTGGCACTGCAGCTTCTGATGCCTGCTTTCCACAAACAATGCAGTGGACTTACAGAGAGCTCTGGTATCCTGCAATCAATTGAACTACATTCACTAACAAGCCATTGGCTCAAAAGCCCCAACTACAACTATTTGGACACAAGCATTTGGGATTTTGTTTTGCAACAATGCCAAATACTGTTGGTAAATGTTTTCAAACACCCTCAGAAAGAAAATCCTGCACATATATTACAACATACTAAGAGAAAATAAAATAAAAAAAAAAAACCACCACCAAATCTTATTTTATCCTCTTGCTTAGAAAGCAACAATACTTTAGTATGCACCTATGGTCAGACTCTGACCTAAAATACTATTGTAAAATACTACTGTAAAAAGCTGTAGGTAAAAATTTCAGTGAGTATTCTATTAAGTTGAAGGTATGAGGCAAGTGCACTAGACAAAACCCAAGTACAAGGGGCATTAAAATACAGTTGTAATTTTTCACAAAACAAGAAATGGCTCCATAGCAATAAAGATCACACATATTTTGCACATCATAAGGTGAGCAAGGAAAGTTGTGAAGATGCAGGAATTATTTATGCCCCTGCCAGTCCTCCTTCCAGCATAGCCGCCCATTTCTAGCAAGGATCTGGCCACATTTACAGAGTGGTTGGGTATTTCAAATCCCTTCTCCCTGCAGTGCCTTCTCCCTGAACACAGAAGGATGTATTACACATGTCCAGTATGCTTCCTGCTGATATTAGCTTGTAAATGTGACAGCACCAGGGAGACTTCCAAGCCTTCCACGAGCACATCTGGAGGACAGCGCCTGCATCTCAGCCACACTTCAGCAAACCCTTGAGCACATGATTAATTTTAATAACAAACTGAAGTATCACTGACATCAACAGGATTCAAAAGCATGTGCTGACATGCTTGCTTGAATCAGCCTCTGCAGGTAACTACTCCTGGCTCCCTTGGGGAGGATGGGCAGGCGACAAGGAGTAGGAAAGGGTAGGACAACACCAGTGGAGAACGAGCCAAAAAGACAAATTCATCCCTGCTGGCACAGAAAGCCAAATGCCACCATTCTGCAATGCAACCACCAGCCCTCTTTTTCCTTCTGGCTTTAGCAAAACAAAACATTCGGCCATCCAGATGGACTCTGTATCCCACAAGGGGAAGCATGTCCCTGAGCGTTCACCAACCCGCTCTGAATCCTGCTCACCTCGTAATGCCAGAGAAATCAGCAGCATTCCCACACACAGGACAGTGCATTATCAAATATACCAACTGCCAGGTCATTTGGCAACAAGAATGTGCAATTATAGTAAAGTTTAGCAAAGATATTTTGCCATGAGCCACAACACTTGTGACTTGCAAGTTGTACATACCATACAATATCAAAAAAATCAAATATCTTTTTAAATCAGGTGTTTAACCTGACCAGCAGAGTGAAACAACCTTAAAAAAGAAAAGGAGTGGGAGAAATGAACAAACAGCATCAAGCAACGGGTCTTCCTCCCATCTTTGAAGGCAAGATCAACAGCTACACATCTGGAAGTGACAGGAATGACTCACACTAGCAGTAACACCACAGTAAGTAGTGGCTATGAAATCCAAGAAAATGAAAGACTGTTGTTTGCTACATGCTCAGACTGGGGAGCTCACTGTCACAACAGGATTAAAAGTGTGACACGTTTACAAAAGGAATAAAAAGGCCATAACACACAGAGAGTCAGGCAGAACCATTCACACGGGAAGGCTTTAAGCTTCATACAGCTGGAAGGAGGAAGAATATCAACAGGGAAGCATCACTCTATGCTTTCTTCTTGACAGTCAGTCAGGTAGTGTATCAAGTGAAGCAAGCTTTTTGTCTGACCTAACATAATTATTCTCAGGGATCTCAGAAATACAAAAGAAAACTAGCAAAGACATCAAATGATGATGGCAGTTGGAAGCAGCAAGTTCAAAAGGGTGGCTGTGAAGCAAGATGTGAAAGACTAGAGCAAGTCTGTAGTGCTTTAAAAACACAGACACTAAGCTGTGTGTAAGGTATGTCACAAACATGATTTTACCTCACAGTAAAAACTTAAGAGCAAACCATGGCTTGAACTGGTTGGTTCAACATCGCTCAACACCGGGGCAGGCAGCCCAAGAATGCAGATCTAGGAGATAGCTCTTGGCCTTAAAGCAGCAGGCTTTTCTCCTTTCCAAACCCTTACCTTATGCTCTACACACTGGAGACTAGATTCAGCCTGACTTCTGCTGGTATAACATAAGCTGTGTTTGCTGGTGGGTTCCTTGAAAGACATCTGTGATGCATTAAGACTCTTCTAGTGAGTCGCACAAAAGAGAGAAATTTTTTACTTCCACCCACTTTGCTTTAGGGAAGGAACCATACTCAGATGCAGAAAGCCAGAGAGGTGTACACACAGACAGTTCACCTCTAGCAATGTCTTCCTTAATGTTATGAAGGTGAAAGCTTCAAAGTAACAGGTTAGGCAGTTCCAGGAATATGCACATGAAAAGCTTCCTGATTTCAATGGGAGGGGATATGCTGACGTGCAGTACTAGGAACTGTGTGATCAGG